TCATGGTAGTTTGAAGTCAGAAGTCAACTGCCGGTTAATAGACTTTTTTGCCGTATGAGTATACGTTGCCCAGGGTGCACCACGTGGAGGTAAGTCTATCGCACACCCCAGGCATAAAAAGGTAAGATGAGTACTTTGGAAGTGGTGGAATATGTCATGCAGTGGAGTCATGGTAGTTTGAAGTAAGAAGTCAACTGTCGATCAATAGACTTTTTTGCCGTATAAGTATACGTTGCCCAGGGTGCACCACGTGGAGGTGAGTCTATCGCGCACCCGAGTCGCAAAAGATAAAGATGAGTACTTTGGAAGTGGTGGAATATGTCATGCAGTGGAGTCATGGTAGNGGATCCATGTTGGCCATGAGTGTTAAGCAACGTTTACCTAACTGGGCTGTGGAGTCACAAAAGGTTTATTTATCTATTTATTTATATCAAATGGCGGGCGTCTTGATGGTTATCATTAGCCCTGGAGCTGACTTGGGGGCTTCACAGAGAGGAGAAGGAACAACAAAGAGACAAAAAGTCGAGAGGGGGAACAGAAGAGTGGTTCACAGATGTAAAAGAGACAGACAGACACAAAGGCATAAAAAGGTATTTATTTATTTATTTATTGCAAATGGCAGGCGTTATGATAGGTATCATTAGCCCTTTAGTTGACTTCGGGCTTCACAGAAAGGAAGATGAACATCAAAGTGGCAAAAAGTCGAGAGGGGGACAGAACAATGTTTCACAGATGTAAAAGAGATAGACAGACAGACACAAAGGTAGAGAAAAGGTAAGGTAAGATGAGTACTGTGTAATTATTCGAATATGAAATGCAGGGGGTCATGGTAGTTTGAAGTCAGAAGTCAACTGCCGGTTAATAGACTTTTTTGCCGTATGAGTATACGTTGCCCAGGGTGCACCACGTGGAGGTGAGTCTATCGCGCACCCGAGTCGCAAAAGATAAAGTTAAGCTGTGTCTTCAAAAATTATTTTAGTAATCGTTTTACACCTTTGTTTAAGCCAAAAATCAATTGGAAGTTGGCCATATTTGCCCTCACCTCTGCTATCATAGTTGGACTGATTTTTGAAATGCGTGGAATATGCAAAAAGTGTAATTAAAAGATTGTGGTTGTGATTCAGCTTACACCCTCTGTAATCAGCTTCTAATAAATGATATTCCTTCGAATGTCTTAGCCTAAACATACTTGATTTACGATGTTAGGACTTTACTTGTTCTAATCAAATTGTTATTTCATCCCAAGGCAAAGGAACTTTAGAATGTTATTTATATCAAATGGCAGGCGTCTTGATGGTTATCATTAGCCCTTTAGTTGACTTCAGGCTTCACAGAGGGGAAGGAACATCAAAATGAAAAAAAGTCGATGAGGGGGGGGGAACAGAAGAGTGTTTTAAAGATGTAAGAGACAAACACAAACGTAGAACAAAGGTGAGGTGAATACTGTGGAAATAGTCGAATATGGCATAGAGTGAGGTGATGGTAGTTTGAAGTGAGAAGTCAACTGCCAGTTAATAGACTTTTTTGCCGTATGAATATACGTTGCCCAGGGTGCACCACGTGGAGGTAAGTCTATCGCACACCCCACTTTAGAATGTTTAAACCTAGAAAGCAGTCCAATGCGGTTTAACGGCTTTCTGTTGACTTTGATTCATTTCTCGTTCGTAGGCAAGCACTCTGATCGGCGAATCTGCATTGCTTGAGTTGGAACCATTGAAATCTATGCAATTTATCAAATAGTTGTATTATTTAAACATGATATTGGTTTTGCATTTGGCATGCCAGTTCATTATTAACCTAAAAGGCCAGTTGATTAATAATTTCAGTCCAAATCTATACCTGAGTCTAATCTGGGTCAAATACCACATGTTAATTCGGGATCTTCACAAAAAATCGCCATTTTTCGAGCGCACACATCATCACAATCCATAATTGGATTACAAGAGGTGCAATTGAATTTCGAAATCTATTTATTTATATCAAATGGCAAGCGTCTTGATGGTTATCATTAGCCCTTTAGTTGACTTCAGGCTTCAGAGAGGGGAAGGAACACCAAATTGAAAAAAGTCGAGAGGGGGGGAACAGAAGAGTGTAGCAAAGATGTAATAGAGACAGACACAAAGGTAGAACAAAGGTGAGTTGAGTACTGTGGAAATAGTCGAATATGGCATAGAGTGAGGTGATGGTAGTTTGAAGTGAGAAGTCAACTGCCAGTTAATAGACTTTTTTGCCGTATGAATATACGTTGCCCAGGGTGCACCACGTGGAGGTAAGTCTATCGTACACCCCATTTTAAAGTCTACAAGTTGATATTCCTGCTAGGAAGAAGGACTATGTACACAATACAGTGTAAAAGATGGCAAACCACGTAGGGTCAATCGCGATCCCACTAACAACGAGAAAAAGCATTGAGCAAAATATTTATTTTGCCTTGCTAAAATATTTATTAATAATTCAAAATTATATTTTTACCTTGAAACGGATGAAAATAAGTGGAGTTTGTTTATTTTTTAATAATGCCAATAATAATATCACATGCCCGAGTGTAAGCGGTAAATAACCGTAGGCACCATTTGCGACTAAAACAATTAGAGATGAGATTTTAAAAAATGTTTTTGACTTGACATTATTTTTTTTTGCTGTTCAAGAGGATTCGACTATATAATGCCGGTATCCATAAATGAGGCTCAAACCAATGTGGGTGGAATAGTAATATGCTATATCTGTGCCTCTCTTCTTACATTCACTAATATGAATTGACAAACACATGGATTAGTTCAGTTTAACAAGGAGAGTTTTGCTCATAAGATCTATTTATTTCAAATGGTAGGTGTTATGATAGTTATCCTTGTCTCTTAAGCTGACGTCGGGCTTCACGGAGAGGAGGAGGAACATCAAAGTGAGAAAAAGTCGAGAGGCGGAACAGAAGAGTGAATCATAGATGAAAAGAGACAAACACAAAGGTAGAGTGAAAAAGGTGAGGTGAGCACTGTGAAAGTGGTGAAATATGACATACAGTGGGGTCATGGTAGTTTGAAGTGAGACTTTTTGCCCATGGTACACTCAAAAGATCAACTTAAGGATGCCTTCTACTCAAAGACTAATGCGTGAAGATCGTTTGCTACACTAATAAGACTTGACTTTTGCTTAGTAATCTCTACGGAAAGTTCTTCTAGTTTGAAATGGGTCCCAGATTTATCTAAGCCTCCTTAAAGCTACAGTGTAAACAGACGTATGGCGCGGAAAACGTTTATTTTAGCATGTGTGTCTGTCCCAGAGTTTAGTCATTAAAATACAATGAAGAGGTCGTTAAACGATGCAATGATTATTGATCGGTGTCTG